GATACAGAGAAGGAGGAATGAACAAGACTCTCTGTGCTAACTATGAGGATGGAAAACTCAAAGTTGCTCAGATCTATGTGAATGACATAGTCTTTGGTAGAATTTCTGAGAAGTTGGTAAAATAATATATTAATCAGATACAATCTGAGTCTGAGATGAGTCTGTGTGTAAAATTAACCTACCTTCTCGGGATACAAGTCAAGCAAATGGAGGACCCTGTATTGCTCTCACAAAGTCAGTACACCAAAGGCATTGACAAAAAGGTTGGGTTGGACAATGCTTGTCACAAAAGAACATCTGCACCTACTCATCTAAAGCTGCCAAAAGATGTTCAAAGCTTATACAAGAGCTAGATTGAAAGCCTTCTGGATCAAACAGCCAACATACCTGACATTGCTCTTGTTGTTGGCGTATGGGCTAAGTATCAAGTAAATTCCAAGGTAAGTCACATGAATTAAGTGGAAAGGATTCTCAAATATATGAATGGAGTCTGTGGCTATGGCATACTCTACTCTCATGAGTATGATCCTACCGTGTCTGGGTATTGTGATGATAGAAAGAGCACAGCTGGTGGATGCTTCTTCTTAGGGAACAACCTAATATCTTGGTTCATCAAGAAGCAAAAATGTATCTCACTATCCACTACTGAAGCTAAACACATAGCAGATGGTAGCAGATGTTCTCAGCTGGTCTGGATGAAGCAAATGTTAACTAAATACAATGTCACTCAGGACATCATGACATTGTACTATGACAATCTTAGTGCTACTAACATTTCCAAAAATCCAATCCAGCCCAGAAGAACTAAGCACTTGAACCTTGTGGAAGACAAAGTGATTTCCTTGGAGCATGTGTCCACTGAACCACAACTAGCTGACATTTGTACAAAGGCTCTAGGTGCTGCTCAAGTTGAAAATCGCAGAGGAAAGTTGGGTACTTGCATATATGAGGGTGCATAGAAATTAATGGCACATGAGAGTTTTAAAACTTCAATACAGTCCAAGTCCTTGACCAATAAAGCTCTCCATTCCACACAAACATGCTTCTTCGCCCCCATTACCTTCCAACATCTCTCCCAGACCTTCACTCTCAACAACATGTCTGCTCATGAAGGATCTTCATCTAAGACCAACCCCAAACCCTCCAAAGATGCTCCTCTCTCTCATGAAGAATGAAGGCGCAAGTATCCTCCTCCCACTGATGAAGAACTTAAGAAGAACTCAACCTACTTGGGTATGTCAATTGAGGAAATCGTTGATGAGATATTCAAGCAAAGGCTGGTCTTCAGAGGCATCACTATTCCATTGGTTCGCAGGGACCCACCTCATTATTTTGACAAGCCATAAGAAGATTAAGGTAATAGTCTAGTATGTGACTGGACTGCTGGTCTGCGCATTTCTGTGCTTTGTTTTCTTTCCAAAATGCAGTTTATTTTTGTGGTGCTCTTCAAAGAGCAGTTTTGTGGTAATGTAACCTCAAACATATGTACATTTTATGATCTATGCTAGTTTATTAGTGAGTCTTAATTTGTGGCTAAAAAGGGGGAGAGGGAAATAGAAAACAGCAGGTACAGCAGGTGGAAGAACAGGTGAAAAAGCTGGCAGTACAAAGGAAGAGCATATGTACCATTGTGCATATGAAATCATGCTTACAGGTGCAGCTGATGAAATGATGAAATATGATGATATGTGTGATAACAGCTAGAGCTGTTAGTGAACTGAGTGTTATATATATTTCTAGCTTGGATGGGAATGCATGTATGTTAGAACTATGAGCTTTGTGCTGAAGTAGCTAGGAGCTAATCTTGTGTGTGTCTGCAAGATGTGAGCAGAATGAGAATAATGTGCACTCCTTCAGGGGGAGTAGCACAGATGTGTGTAACTTCAGGATGTCAACCAGAATGTCATAACATCCAGAGTAGACTGGATGATTATGTGTGACTGCAGGGCTGTTTGCAGGTTGTGTGCTCAGCTGAGAGAATATGCAACAGTTGAGGGGGAGTAACCAAGTGTGTTACTCAGCAAAGTGTGACATCTGCAGTGGTAACTAACAGATGGTTAACAAGGTGAGCTATAACAGTGAGAGCTAACTGTGAGGACTCAGAAAGACTTGAGCTAGTAACTATCTTGCATGACAGGACATATCATAAGTCTTCTGCTGTGTAAATCTCTGATATGATGACAGAGTGTTTTAGCCAAAAATTTGCCAAAGGGGGAGTTTGTAAATGCTCTTGATTGGCTACATTTTGTGGCAAAACACTAGAGCATGTATGCATGTCATGACTGATGTTAGTGCATACATAATATGGTCCGTGCAGGGTAAGTTGACTTAGCTAAAAGCAAGTTAAGCTGGATGTCATACCCAATGTTATGACTTGGGTCGTATGACATCAAGCGCTGGTTTGTTTTTCTGGTAGCTATAAACCAGGAAACATAATAGGAGCACAAGCTGGATATCAGGAGACTTTCTAGAATCCCTAGGAGAACTAGAATATCCCTGAATTAACTAACGAGCGTGCAGATTATTGAAGATATGTTTGTTATGGATAAAACCTAATTTATGCACCAAGGCCCAAAAGGACTGACAGCTGCTATAAATATCAGAAGAAGCAATCCTGAACAACAGCTCTTGACAGAAGAATAGAGAGTGCAAATTAGAGAGTCCTTGTGAGTGAAGAAGGCTAGTTTTCACGTGTGAATTGAGTCTTAGGAATACTTGTACTTCAAGCAATTGTCTGTTGGATGATTGCATTGATTAGGTAGATTCTAAGCAGTGTCTCACTCAAAGCTGTTAAGCAAGAGTGTGTGCGTCCTTGATCAAAGCTGTGAAGCAAGATCAAGGTGTGTATGAAGTGTTTCTTCATATTGACTTGTGTAATTGTGAATTGTATATCAAAGTGGTGATTGAGGGGGAGTGAGTGGGTATACTCAGGTCTAGAGTGTCTGTAGGTTGAAGTGTCATTGGGTAGGGATTAAGTGAGAAGTGCAAACTGGTTGTTTGACTTTGAATTGATTTTAATAATAGTGAATTTCCTCCCTAGCTTGGTAGCCCCCAGATGTAAGTGTTGTTGGCACTGAACTAGGTAAACAATTACTGTGTTTTTACTGCTTTACTTTATAGTTAAATTAGTTAGTACATCAGTTAATGTCACAGTGGATGTTATAACTTTGGTAATAACATCCATCGTGTGCTTGCCAGAATTTTCAATTATATTTTTGGAAGTCGTATGTAGTTTTGGAATTTGTTGATATACTTTGATATAAAAGTTAGTTGTTGTGAGGATCTGGAAATATGGAGTTTGTAATTATATGTATAGTGGATGTATTTGTGAAGTTATCGGTTTTGTAATTATATGTATACTGAATGTATTTGTGAAGTTGTTGTGAAGATCGGCTTGTGTTGAATTATAAGCAGGTTTATATGTTGAATTACAATGATTATGGTATATATAAGGGCAAAGTGTTGAAATAAAGGCCTGTGGTGAATGTAATTGTTATAAGCAGGTTTATGAAAAAAATTATAAAAAACGATGCAACATAATTCAACAAAAATCGTTTCTAAAAAATATGAAAATAGACAGCGCTTTTAACCAAAAAACGCTATAAAAAAGTGATTTTTTTTATTAAAAAAATTCAATGACGTGAAGAAAAGACAACACTTTTCTTGAAAAAGACGCTGCTAAAAGGGGGGGGGGTATAGAGAGTGCTCCAAAAAGCGCTGCTATAGGAGGGAAAAAGACAACGCTTAAAAAAGCGCTGCTATAGGAGGGAAAAAGGGGGGGGGGGGGGGGGGTAAAGACAGCGCTTAAAAAAGCGCTGCTAAAGGGGGGAATAGGCAACACTTTTATTAAGAAAAGCACTGCTAAAAATATTCAATAAGTACACTTTAGGCAGCGCCTTTTAAAAGCGCTGCTAAAGAGAGAGGGGGGGGGATAGAGAGCGCTTTTTTGCAAAAGCGCTGCTAAAAAGTATTCAGCAAATAAACTTTAGGCAGCGCTTTTCAAAAGCGTTGCTAAAGGTGGGGAAAAAGAGAGCGCTTTTCTAGAAAAACGCTGCTAAAAGTGGACCTATAGTAGTGTTTTTTACTTAAAAAAAGCGCTTCCTTTACCTTTAGCAGCGCCACTTTAGACAAAGCGCTGCTAAAGGTCTTTTTTGACATAGTGTTATTAGACTATCTAAGCAGAAAACGGTGGTTGAGTGCAAGTGGCAAGATCGAGGTTCAGGCGTAACTTGAATTTGATCAAGGTTGTTGAATGATGATTTAATTTGGAGAGAGTAGTAAAACGGTTGATAACGATTTAAAGTCATTTTGAATATTTGTATAAGTATACTCTAAAACCTCAAGTGATACAGAGTAAGAAAAATATACTTTTAAGATTGGCAAAAATAAAATCCAAAAATCCAATGAGGCAACCAGAAATTCGACACCGTAGGTCGGCGGAGCTACAGCCACGACGGCGGCAGTCCGACTGTCAACGACATCATAACCATTTAGAAACATTTTATCTATCAATATCATAATAAAGATAGTTATCTTCACTACTTCTGTTTTGGGGTATATTGTGTAAGTAATTGACACAAATGATATGTAAGCTATAATTAAGAGTGTAAGCATATTATTCTATTCTTATGTAGGCATTACATAAGAAAAAGAGAGCATCTTTAGTAGGGAGAGAAAGTGCTACTTGGAACCATAAAGCAGAAGTTGGACACTATACCAGCTAGAGGAGAATAACTGTTCTCTGCGTCAGTTCATAAAGTAGAGGACGAGAACACACTAATGCTACTTTTTATGACCATTCTTATTATTTATCACAAAGAATCCATATACACACCTTTTCATATATGATGGTAAAACACAAATAATGATCTTCTTTTAAAAATCCATGTGCCTTCCCTCTCTATAAATACCAACAATTCCAATGCCTTCTACTCACAACCAATAGTGCTAAACACCTTACAGAATCATTGTCTTACAAAAAGACTAGAAGGGTGTGAAAAATGGGAGGTAAGGGATCATCTTCGTCTCTATGCAATGTATTCAAAGCATGTTTCTCAAGTGGAAACAATGATGAATATTGGGAAGGTAGTGGAAGTGGGAGAAGGATATTTGCAAGTGATGAAGATAGAGGCTGTTGGGTTGCTGAGCCTGGTATTGATAGGAAAGCTTCTGATTTCATTGCTAGATACTATGCCTCTCGTGTCACTGACTCTCAAAGCAAATTTGTTTCTTGAATAAATTTCTTTTCTTCTTTGATTTTCCATTCATGCAATAAGTAGCTACTTTCTTGAATTAGGCTTCGAAGTTTTCTTGTTGTCAATGTTTTAATGTTTGTCATTTACATGTGTCTAGGAGGCAGTGTGTTTATGTAAGAATTATTCCCTCTTGTAAGGTTGTTCCCTTATTTTGTTGTAGTGATGTACGAAATAATACAGTCACAATATTATGTAACATATTATTCATCCTTATTCTAAGAGTTTTGATTCGTATGAGACTGTGTTTATAAGTATATCTAAGTATATCTATGCTCTAGAGTATTATTTAAAAGTATATGATACCGAGATGCTAAGTTCTTCATTGATTTCGAAAGAATAAACATTGTAGCCTATATAGGAAGTGGTAGTTATGGTGCAGCTCAACTTACACAAACTTAATCTCTAAATGACTATAGCCAACTTCAACTACATAATTATTTAACAATGTAATTATTGTTATTAAAGTTGAATTGACATTTTTTTCTATAGATAATATGTTTAGCAAGATCTCTCAAATATTGTTGAGATATCTTGTCTCAATTTAATTAGTTATCCCCTAGGGCTCTTTTGAAAGAATTATTTTTGCTCGTTTAAATTCAGATTTAATTTGGAAGATTTCTTTCAGATTTAATTCAAAAAGATTTAACTTAGAAAGATCTAGTTTTTCTCAAGATTATACTAATGAGTTTTGAAAAGATTTTGTTGAAAAATATTTAATTGATTTAATAAAATTTAATTAGATTTAATTAGATTAAAAGATTCTATTTTAGCTGAAGATTTGGTATAATTATAAGTTTATCTTATTAGGCTTATTGGATGGATTGATGTATTATAGAAAGAGATCATTCTCCTTTTTGAAAACACACTTAAAGAGTGAATTTCTGTCACACTCTAATTTTTGACTTTAAGATCCCACATCTTTTTGCGTTTCTTGCATTATTTATACCTTCGTATTTATGTTTATTGCGACTAACAAGTTTGTGCAAGAGTGTCAAGTTGATGATACTGTCTCTCTTGAATTTAAGCATCTCAGGCTATCTCTGGATCGATTTTTCAAAAGACGCATTATCATTATCAAGAGTGGTTCAAGGTCACAGGCCATCGTTTCCAAAAAGAACAGAATCGTTTATGCTTTGGGTTTCATGATCTTCAAAGTTGTGGCAGTATTATTTGTGGTCCTTGCGCCAGAGGATTGAGTTCTTTTTATTTGAAGTGTTCTGATTATCATTTTTCAAGCCGTTTTAATTCACAAGTCAAAGTCCATGGCGAAATGTGGCATTCAAGTTCTTTTAAGTCAACTGTGTGCGTGGAATTCAAATTCTTAATCAAGATCGTTTTTGATTATAAGACAAGTCTTTATTATGCTCAAAATTGGCTTATACATTATATTACAAGATACATGGGTTACAAGTTACTATTTTTGGTTATAAGATTTTTTGGATTACATCAAGAAGTTCCTAACACTAATCCTAAGACTTCTAAAATTCAAGGGCCTTCAAGCTTTAGTCTTCATCTTTGCCATCTTCTGTATCTGCAAATATTGGACAAAAAAAAAGCAATTAGCAAAAAAGGAAGTTCAAAGAAGAGGATTTTGGTTTTTGCTTACAACCCTCAGAAAGATATCATCATCGGGGCAAAAGACGGAAGGGCAACAATTTGGAATTTCCAGCAACTTCCGTATAAAAAGGGACAGAACCATTAGTGGCATCATCAAAACCGGTTCAGGCTGACGTCATCATCACCAAGTGCATTTTCTTAGATGAACCAATATTCAACTCAATTCAAACTATTCTCCATACAAGAGAATTAGATGTTAGTCATCTTGACAGTCGCGATGTAATTCTCCTGCCCCATAACAATTTTATTGTGAGATATACGATCTTTTTCGCTTGAGAGAGATAATGGCATACTCGTCGATGTAATCCGAGTGTTTGATCCCTTCTCTCAAGACGATGCAAAGACCATCTCCTACAAGTTGTGGTGGTTAAGACGAGTGTTCTCCCTTAAGATGACGACTCATCATTTCTCCTAGAACCAATCAATCAACAAACCTTATCCCTTTGGAACTTTGACCAACAGACAATGTTTCCTCAATCCCTTTTAGGGGAACTACAAATACTCGGATTCCATTCCTATCAGGATATGTAGGCAAAACATGCGACGTCTTGGCGAGTATACTTAGAAATAAATCTTTAGGTCTTTCACCCTTAAGCAGATAACCTTTAGCAATAAACACAATAAAACAAGAGGTTCCTTTAGAGTACTACAGAAACTTAAGATGCTAGCACCTTCCCTAAGTTTAACCAACCCCCGAACCTAAACTCTCTAGCTTTTGCATTTGCATTGCATTGTGGATAATTCGATCTTTTTCCCTTCCTTTGGACAAATTAAAGACTGGTGGTGAACCTATGAATTAAGATTCAAATTAATTAATAATTTAACATCCAATTCTCACCGCGACAATTTCTACACCGAATAAGGGTTTTATTGAGTTGATTCTTTGTTGTGTGCTTTGTGTGTATAACTGTAATATATCATATCCTCGTAAATACTTTGTTCTTGTTCTCAGTTGAGATGAACTGAGTTTCTGTATACTTTATTTTTTGTCAATTGGGACAAATGAAGTAATTAGTGAATTCATATAAACTTAATTCTTATTAAATTCAATTGACCTTTGTTAATTAATAAAAGAAATGAACATTTTGGTAACTGTAATGAATTATCAATTACTCTCTAGAAGAAATATCTCATTTAAGATATTTTTTATCTCTCTTTCCTTTCCAAAATCTTTACTTGTTAGTAACAAGAGACAAAAGAGAAGAGAAATAAAAGAATAGGAAAAAAATAAGAGGAAGAAGAAAGCTTGGAATGTGGGAACCAAGAGCTTGGATCATCAAACCTCATCTCAAATCTTTCATCATCTTCATCTAATTAAGGTGGGGTCTAAGTAGTATTAGTTTTTGGGAGAGTTTTCATGGAAATGGGGATTAGGGTTTATGTGTTTACTTTGATCATGAAGTTGCTGCTAATACATGATGCCTTTGTTGTTTTACATGCTTATTTGTGTTATTCTATGATCTCTAGATGTTCATTGGTTTGACATAGTGTTTTGTGGTGTTATTATTACTCATTTTCTTTCATCCTATTACATTTTCTCACTAGCTTAGTATTTCCATCTTCGCTAAGAGCGTATATCAAAACCTGTCAGTAGAAGATTTTTGGCTAAACTCGCTAGCCGAAGGTGAGTATCCCTAAGCAAGATAAGTGAAATTGAGGAAATTAATGTGACATTCAGTCTGGCCTCACCTGAGCTTTGCTTAGAGTTTGCTAGGAGATAACTCGCTAGGAGAGATCTTGCTTGGAGAACTCATTGGTCTCGCTAAGCAAAATAAGTGAAAATCCATAGGCTTGAGCTTTCTGCATCGCCTCCCTTGGAGATCGACTCGAGCTCGCTAAGCGAGGGTTCCAATAAATGGAAAGATGTTTAGTCTTCCTATTTCCACCATAAAACAGGGATCATAACTCCGATTGACGCCATGTCGAATGCGTTGGAAAGATAATGCAATGCTCTATCTATTGAAGAGTAAATCATGCATGTATCTTATAATGCTTGATGAAATATTATTCTCATGTTATGAACTATGGTATGAATAGTTGTTTTTCTTGAATGTTTAATAATTGGATTAACTTATGCTAATGTGTGAGGTGAACCTTAGTAAATAACTAGGTGAGTGAACTAGTAATGATGACTTAGGTGTGATGCTTGGATGTAAGGGTACCTCGGTATGTACCGCCGGCGAGTAGTCACATGAACTATGAACCTTTGTATGGAACATGTTGTGATGATATGAGATTGGTGAGTGTGATCACCTAGTAATTAATGAGTGTATTCACATTGTGAATGTTAAACTAGTCTCGTATATAGAAATAACCCTTTTTCGTGAACTTCACAATTGCGATGCTTATGTAAAGTAGAATAGGGATGTAGGCATTGATTTACATCAACCAAATGGGTTCGAATCCCAAAGAAATGTTCAACCAAATGGGTTCAAGTCCCATAGAAATATGAAACCAAATGGATTTGAGTCCCATAGAAATTATCAACCAAATGGGTTTGAGTCCTATAAAAATATAAAATCATAAGAAAGTCGAATCATGATACAAAGATCAGTGACCAGTGTCCAAAGTCCTAGATGTAGGCTCGGTCAGGAAAAAAAATGTTGTTGCATTTCTAAATAGTGATTTATTGAGTTGTGTGTACTCAAATTTACATGTTTCCATACAATGCGAAGATCCTTAGACACTTAAGTCTTACTCTATTATGTATGTGTACACATGTAGTGTAATTTGATAAGCTTAAGTTAATGAGTCTATAATAGTCTCTTTAGATCAGAGTGGACCCATAAGATAAGGAATCCACTGAAATTATCATCTCACGCTATTATTATTGTTATTTCAGGTGGTTTGTTACAAGTGAAGGGAAAGGACAAGCTTGCCTCATTATGTTTCAGAGAATTTTGTGTTGGTGTAAGCCCTAGAGGCCAATACTTTTTGGTACTTGTATCGGATTATTCGTTTAATAATAAAAGGTATTTCTTTATTATGTTTGTCTTTCAGAATAATAAAGTCCCTAGAATAGTTAGTCTGTTTAATGAAATGTTAAGTGTGACTTAATCATGAGATCCCATTAAACATAAAGACATTATTCTTAAAATATCCGTAGTCAAGCTTTATTGCAAAGTGGGATAACATTAAAAGCATTGAGACTATTATGAAGATAGACTGATGATCACATCTCATGGATCATGGATAAAGAGTTATCAAGTCTTGACATAGGTATAAATATTAGGAGTAATATTTATACCGGATTGACCCGCTATGAGAATACTACATAGTATGTTATGCAAAGTGTCATAAGTTATTCTCATGGTGATAATGGTGTATTACCACCCTTCGACCTGAAACCACTATGGACCCTA